CACTACGCGCTACGAGGGCTACGGCATTCAGTTCCGCTTCAGGACTACTTTGCCAAACGGTTTCCTGGCGATCGGCAAGGAACCATTTATATTCTTCAGCTGGTCAACGGTAACGGCAAACATACACTCGAGTATGCTGGACAAATGGACGGAGTTTTCGTCGATGGCTGACTCAATCATGCCACGTGGCAAAAGGCTTTTGTGGCGATCAACGCAACTCATCTTGTCCTCTCGGCCAACAATGAGCAGACTATCTATCCTATCAGTCCTAACGAAAGCTCCAATTCGTCGAATTACACGTCTTTTCCTACGACTTACGTAGACGGCAGCTACAGCTCTTTAAACTTCCTGAAAAGGTTATCTCTACTCATTTTCACCTTCTTCATTGGCTGCATGGAAGATGTCATTATTAACGGCGAATGGGTATGTTGACCTGCTTTTAATTTTGATTTATTTAATGAATCATATTTCTTTAGAAATACATTAAGTAACCACATAACTTGTGTAATTGTTAACATAATTTTATTTTTTTCCCAGTGAAAGTTTGTGAAAAATAGTTTTTAATTTTGTAGATATTGAAATCTTTATTTATAAATTATAAAATATAAAGTGTTGACAATTTCTAAGAAATTTTCCGAAATGAGTTTTCTAGAACAATTTTTTACATCTCCATGCGGATTTTAGGATTATTCTTGTACTACGTTGAAGACCGTATATATGGAGGACGTAGAATCAGGCTGTCCCCGCGAGGCTCAATGCTCACCAAATCCCTGCGAGAACGGCGGTCACTGCACCGACAATTGGCGCGAATTCAAATGCAAGTGCGAGCGTCCTTATCTCGGTCGCACCTGTCAGTACAACATGACCTTTGCCACCTTCGGCTACGAGAACATTACGAACGGCTATGTGACTGTGAAGGTTATCGACACGGCTAAACGGACTGTCAGTTCAGTCGTTGACATCTGCATGTTCATCCGCACGCGGGAGGGCCACGGTGATATATTTTACCTGGACACGGATCCGCAGGACGATCTAAAGCTTGAGGACAAGACTTGCATAAGAGCGCAACTGAAGGACGGAAACTTGCGCGTGAGTTTCCAGTTTGACATCACTGACGGCTACACGATCGACGGCGCGAGGCTCAACGACGAAAACAACACCTCATTCAAGTGACAAGAAACGTTACTCT